GCTGCTTCTTTCCTAGTAGCAAACTGTGTCATTCCGCAAATTCAAATAGCACTAGCAGAGAGCTCTGACAAAGCTTTCCATTGGGCAACTCACTGCATAGAGAGTTTATTTATTTTATTTATTGATTGATTTATATCCTGCCTTTTTCCTACAAAGGGCTCAAGACAGCTTACATCATTCTCCTCCTCCATCTTATCCCCACAACAACAACCCTGTGAAGTAGGTTGGGCTGAGAGTCTGTGACTGGCCCAAAGTCACCCAGTTGGCTCCATGGCTGAGCAGGGACTAGAACCCCAGATCGTCTGAGTCCCAGTCCCATGCTCTTCACCACGACACCACACTGGCTCTCTAGAGTAATACATAAACAGTTCCACAACGGGTTATGCACACATGATGTGCAACCATTTGTACAACACGTTGTGCAACTGCATGCATAACTAAACAAACAGTGTGATGTACTGGTTAACAATGCTGAGCTGGGACTTGGGAGGTTTGGGTTCCAGTCATCACTCAGTCATGGAGCTCATTGGGTGACTTTGGGCCAGTGAGACACTCCCATCCCAACCCACCTCATAGGATTGTTGTGAGGATAAGATTCAATACAGGGGGAAGAGAATGATGTCAGCTGCCCTGCATTCCTTGAAAGAAAACAAGGCAAGGATGTAAAAGTAATAAATGAAATAAACATAACTTTCACTGGACTCTCCTCTTGCACATAGTTTAGAACCTAATTTTTGCTAGTGTCAGGTCATTTGTATTAGAGAATGGCTGGATACTGTCTTATGTCTTGCTTTACTCAGGAGCTGAGTTGTTATCTTATAAACCTTACTTGGGAAAAAAGCACCAATAAATGCACAAAGTTTTACTTTGGAGTTAAAACACATACCCTTGGGGGGCATCATTGTACTCTTGTGCCTATTTACACAAGGTTTACTTTAGACTTCCTGAAATGGAATCAAATTAAGTTATATGAGATGCTTCCTTGCATAAAAGACTGCTTCTCTTTTTACATTTATGAACACCTAGAAAATATTGGCTATTGGTTAATAAATCATCATCATCATCATCATCGTCGTCGTCGTAGTAGAGATCATGGAACACAGATGAGTGCAAAAGAGAAGTCTATATATGTACAACTCTATGCAGGTACATTACACATGCAATATTAAACCTGCACAGCTGGGATTCCTGATCATGATGGAATCCTTCATGCATACGGTTGTGAGTGTACAGGTATCCACACATTCAATATGCAAATATTTAGGGCTAGGACCAGCACTATGCCCCACATCATAAATGGAGCCCAGAATTGCAGCAATGTTTTAGCTTACATGGAAGAATGCATTTATAGAGAATAAGAGTTTGCAAATTTGGAGTTATACAGAATCTCCCTCCACCCACTGGTCAGGCAGAATAGAAAGGAAACCATCAACTACAGAGAGAAGAAACACTTGAAATATTTTGCAGTAGTCTTACCCATGTGCAGTTGGAGGTTCCACTGTGTACTTCACTGCTGCAGAGAACCAGGTAAGTATGCACAGGATTGCTCAGTTTTAGACTAGTACTGTATTTTAATGTATTAGCTTATATACTAGCTAACAGGCTAGCTAAGGTTCAAATGCACAAACGACCATAAAGACCACTGGGTGCCCCTTGGCTACTCACACTCTTTCAGCTTTAAGCTTTATGAGAGGGTTGTTCTTGTTGTGATGTGGGGCTTTTTCGGAAAAAGGTGCAGGAAGATTAAGGTAATTTACTTTGGAAAAAGTAATCTTTATGTAAGAATATTTTTGATGCCCTAGAAACTGGTTTAATTTACCCTGTTCATTTTACTCATGTTTAATCAACGGCAACAGTTTTAAAAAAGTACTCAATGCTAACTGTTTGTCCCCGTACACCTGAAGTATTAAAGCACACTGAATTAGATTAAAATATTGTACTATGTAAAAATGTTACTAGAATACTTCTAACATTTGAAGACAATAGCATATACTTTATTTCCACTGTTTGAATTAAAAACAACAACAAAAGTATTGAAACCATTGAAATACTCAATAAAAGCAACCCAAAGAAGTGAGCATATATTGGCAACCAGCAACTGATTTACAACTTTGAATTTGCCGTGATTGCTTAATATTGTATTTGCAATTGACATACATTCAATATTGTTAATGAACTTATGGATTGATTTTTCCCCATATCACTGGGTTGCTGCAAGGAAAAAATGGGCCACTCTGGCCAGGGCTCTTTAGAATGGGGATAATAATAGTAGGTTGACCAGAAATCTTCCAATTTTTAAAATAACAAAAAACCATGGCAGCAATCAAAGCCCCCTCCCCACATAACCTCAGGAGTAAGGACAGCTTGCAGGGCGGAGGTGGTAATCATTAGGATTACAATGTGGGAGGACAGTGTTTAAAAACCTGCTCTGCACACTGCAGTCCCACTGCATTTAGCATCCAGTTTGCTCCTACAGCATGCAGAATTGGTTGCATCATGATCCACGTCAAAAGATGGGGAAGACTCATCCAAAGCATAGCATTGCCTTTTTATGGGTGCTTTGCAAGGGAGGGGGGAGAGAGAACAGGAGAAACTGTTTACATAATGTTGGGATGGGTGTTGCCTCACTAGTGATCAACACTTTTTTAAAGTGGTTTCTTAAGATCTTCCACACCTCCCAGACTTGAAAGGAACACCCAGTTTCTCATTAAACAACAGAAAAAGCGAAAGCATCACTTTTTTCTGGCACCAAAGCACTCCCATCTACTGCAACAGGCGTGTTCCCTATACAGAAATTGCTTTGATACTCCCAACAAATGCCTAACTATGCACTTCTTGTGCAAGAATCACCCTTGATCCCTTGTCATTTGTACACAACACTGGAAGAAATACAATGGATTTCTCCTGCTCCTTCCAACATGCACACAGTGCAGAAGAGCATGTAAGATATTCTACAGAAGGGTCAATGAAGCCATTCGACAGTCTCACCCAGTTTGCATTCAGTATCATCTCGAAACCAACATGGTGGAAACTGCTTGTATCATGCTAAGGAGTGGCAAGATCTGCCCACGTAGATGGGTACCTTGCTGCATTGTACCTACCAAGAACAGATGTAGCTTGGAGAATGGCACCATATTGTCCACGCACCTTGCTGCATTCTGCAAAGCAATGCTGGTCTCTCCCAACTGCCCCCACAGACCCCCAACCACCCACAAGAAACCAGTCAGGTCAGGATTTGAGATGGGTCTGCTTTCTAGATGCAATATATAAACTTCATCGCCTTCCTTCAAAGCCTCAACATGCATTTAAAGTAAATGCAAAGGGAATACCTTCATACCTGAGCTAGAACTGAGTGACTCTGTGGGAGAGGCAAGGGGGAAACCTACCCTAAACATGGATTATAACTTTCATTGTAAACTATGATCATATTCTAATCCATACCAGAATAGCAGCTGTAACAATACCAAAAAGACCAGGAGTGATACATCAAAGATTAGTATTCCTATCCTAAATGCTTTGCTTGGAAATAAGTCTTTCATGCATGAATTCCACAGGATGGCCACAACCCAGACTCACTCTGTACCTAAGCCACTACATTTTAGGATCTCCACATCTACCAAAGAGATGACCAGAAGTGTTGGCGCTGGTGGTGCCTACCACCTGTTTGGAGACAGGAGGAGGGGAGGGCATCTGATCCTGCCTAACTGATGCAACCAGTGGCAAACCCAATGCAGATGTGATCCGGTTAAGACCACCACGCTCCCAGCCTCTTCAGGAGACGGGATTCCCACACCACCCCCAACTCTGTGCAGCACCCTTTTGCGCATGAAGACCATGACCTGCAACGTAATCACCTTGCAGAAACTTGCTTCCACACAAAGATTGTCTTTGCTGGGGTTGATTTCTTTTTTTAAAGAGACCACTGTAAACTGGGCATTGGACCGAATTGAGCAGATGCGTAACACGGACGAGAGAAGTAAAAGATGTACATCAAGTACAGTCAAGGAACACTGGATGAAAATTAAATGCAGGGTTTTAATTTTTAAAAATGCACTGTGCTAAGCAAAAGAGCTAACCCCGAATAATTTTCTGGAATATCAATATCCAGACCCAAATCACTTGTTGCAGAAAACCAAGGAAAGAGTCAGGGGAACTTGTATAAACCAGCCAACTCGAACTATTATTATTTTAATTTTCATTCAAAGCCTGAGAAAGCGGCTAGTGAATTTAACTGCACCCCCACTCTTTTTTAAAGCAGAAAGTTGGACCTCCGAGGTGGGGTGGGGATTCATCAGACCACAAGCATCCATTGCAGCACCGTCACGCCCACATTTGTCCTCTGCTCGGCCTCTGGGATTTCCGCGAAACACGGAGAGGCTGCAGAGAAAGTCCCGGGTGGTGGGTGGGAAGGAAACCATTCGCTAGGTGTGTCTTTCTTTAAGAAAGCAGCCGTCGCAAGCTGCCTCGGTAGCTCGCTCCGGGTGCCTTTGCCATGGAAGAGATCGCGCATGCATACGCGCAAAAACCCGGGCTGCAATAACATTCCCATTATTGATTACGAGCAGGGGGAGAGGGAGAGCGTTCCCAACAGAAAAAAGGGTACTAACACAACTACGACTCATCAGTAGTAATACTAATGTCATTCTTTTGCAATGGGCGTCGCCAGACCTTTCCAACAGCCCGGGCAGTGCCGGTCCCTTTTGTTATAGGAGCGCAGGAAATTTAGCAGGTTTGAACATGGCTATTTGTCCCCGAAACCCAGCGTCCTCCTTTGGATTCTTTTTCCAGTCCCTGCTTTCTGATGCAACCTGCTATATAATTCCTTTGAGCAATAATGGAATTAACGCCCGAGCAGGTCTTGAACCCTCTTCAAGCGACCGCGCTTCTTGCATCATTTAATCAATCAATCAGCCAGTCAAAAAAAGGGGGGTGGAGAGAGAGAAAAAGAAAGCAAGTCTGTAAATCTATTATCAAAAATGGGCGAAATCCAATTTACGTACAATACTTGCGATTTTATGTCTTTTTCTCCTGACGTCGCCGTCCCTGGCCTGCGTTGCGCGTCTTCTGGTTCTTCTTTGTCTCTTTTTTTTTTCTCCTTTCTTTCTTTTTTTTAAGACTCCACTCGGAATGTCACAAAATAAATGCATCCATTGTGCATCTCCACCACTCCGAAGCCTCGCTTGAACTGGAGCGATTCCTTCCACCACTTCCCTCGTGTGCTCGTCCAACGTGATGGACAGTTGCTATGGTTTCGCGTCTCTGACGTCAAAGACATTAAAGAGAAAGAGCTTTCCTGGCCGCCGCTTGCGAGAGAACGCGCGAGCGCGGTGGGAGCGTGCAGGGCGTAGTCCTCCGCCTCGCTCGGGGCAGTGACCCCCGCCAGCCTCGCGTCGGCTGCTCGCCCGTGGCGCTGCGAGAGGGAAGGCAAGGAAAGGCAAGGGCGCCGCGGAGCTCTTTGGTGGGGATAAAAAGGAAGCCTTCTGCGGACGTCCCAGGATGGCGGCGGTGGCGATAGAGCGTCAGGCCAAGAAGCGGTGCTTGCTAGATGGCAGCCCTCCAGGGTTGGAGCCCCGAAGGCCCGGCTCCCCGCACCGCTGCTCTGCCCGCCGCCTTGTTGTCCTGAGGCACTTGCACAAAGAAAGGTGCCGGGAGCCCGGAGGGTCCTCCTCCGGATGAGGCGGCTTTTGGCCCACATGGGCTTCACCTCGCGCTGCATCCCTTTGCATCCTGCTACCTAAGGCTGATTTCTGAAATCAGTTGCCCTCTCGCTTGTCTGTATATCCCTTTCTGCAAATAGGAATGCCCTTAGGGAACAGGCTCTGCTTTAAAGGCACACAGATTTTCGGGCATATGGAAATTAGCACATGCAAATTAGTGCCCCCCCCCAGCCGTGGACGAGATCTTTTCCGTGCCTTGCACTGCCCTGACAGTCTTTCTTCCATTAAGATTGCCCAGGGGATGGGTGTGTGTGTTTGGAGAGAGAGAGAGAGACTTCCCAGTCCCCCCAGGAAATCTCAAAACATGCGAAGGGGAACATCCCCCCCTTTTACTCCCAAGGCCTCACATCTCTTCAGCAAATGCAGGAAGAGTTATCAACTGATGTCTTTTTAGTCCATAATATTTTCCCCTTTCTCCAAATGCCAGCAAGGAGTTTGCAGGCATTCCTTCATCCAGGTGCTGAGGAAAGCTTTCTAGCTTTGGTAAAGGGCACTTGCCTCGTGCAGCAGTCCACCTGGGTCAGGATGTGGAACCTAAGCCCCGGAGTCCAAATCTGGCCTGCTAGATACACTAATATGGCAGGAATTCCTGGATGGTCATATTCTCTTCTATTCTCCCCACAAAAAAACTGATTGCTTGATTTCTTCCCAGCTTTCATGCATTTGTTTTCTCCCATTCTAAAAGGTAGAATTTCATTTTTTTTATTTTTTTCTATTAATACATTTATATTGTGCATTTTTCCTTTCAAGGAACTCATGACAATATATATATATATATATATATATATATATATATATATATTTAAACCCTCCTTTCAGTTTTATCCTCACAACAACCCTGAGAGGTTGGTTGGGCTGAGAATCTATCACTGGCCCAAAGCTATCCAGTGAACTTCATTGCCAACTGGGGGCTAGAATTCAGATCTCCCAGGATTGCAGTCTAAACTAACCACATTGGCTCTTCTAAGGCTTAGGGTTTGGCAGTATGAGCTTTAAGGTACTGGCAGATTCTGGGAGTTGCAGGAGTTTTCAGTCTAAACATGCATAGGATTGCATCTACACATGCTGATAGTTTGAGCATTTTGATCTTGCTGCTATTCCCTTTGCCCTGTCCTCTACTGGAATGTTTTCCCTGAGAGCTTCTGCAAAATTGAATTTGGTCAAGAGGCTCCCCATCCTTGCCTAAAACAGTTTCAGAAACCCCACCACCACCACTAAAATGGCAGGATGATTACTTCATTTCTGAAGCACACAACTCATATTTCTCTGTTCCTCGCACCCCTGACCATTGCTTTATATATAACTGCTTCTACATTCCAGGTAAATCAGAGCAAAACAAACAAACAAAAACCTTCACTGTTTGACAACTTCCTTTAAAAGAGAAAAAGAAAAGTCCTTCCACATCCTAAGCTGATTTAAATTAGAGCCCCACCCTAACCAGAAGAATCAAACACTTTTGCTGCTCTGATCTGGTGTATAAACAAAATGATCTGTAACCATGGACATGCTCAGCCAGATGTTAAAGCATGTTTTGAAAAGTTACAAGGAGAAAGCTTGCGTTGGTAAGCCGCATTGGACTCATTTGCTGTGTGCCCCATCACCCCACAGCCTGGGATTCAATAGAGGACCACCACCCTTTATTTTGAAGTAAAGTAACTTTCATGATAAAGTTGATCTCCACAAAAAGAAGTCAAGAAAACAAAGGGAACAAAATGAAAAGCACACATCATAATAAACCGTGTTCCTCCCTAAAGAAGCAAAGAAATTAACTAGCATTCTTAGTTTATCACCAATATGCTTATGAAACATCTACAGTAAAATGGCTAACTTGGAGCTCAATGCACAATGAATAAGTAAAAATACTGTATGTGCAGCATATAAAAGAAGCATTTGCAAATATTTCATGTGTATTCATGAGAAAAAAAACACAGACAACTGTACTTGAGTGGAATTTGAGCAAAATGTGAAGAGTTTCCAAACAGGAAATAAATGGAAGGCATGGTGCCATAGTACCTTTCTTTAACATTCAGAATCCTGCTTGCTGCAGTTGTAGACTGAGGTCATGCACTGGAGACTAAAGGCACAAGCCTATGCATGTTCAGACAGAAAAGGTCCTGCAGGCCCCAGGATGCCCCAGCCAGCAGGTATAGAGCTGAGTCCTCGCTTGGTCCTTTGCAGCAACACCATTCAAGCAAATCTGGGGACCCTGAACTGACCAAGTTGCCCTGTCGCCCTTGAGCTCTGGTGGGAAGGCCATGGAGACAATGCAGGCCCACCTGGTGGAATATTGACCTGGGCGATATGCTGGCTTGTTCCTCGTGTGGACGAGCTGCTGGAGCAAGGGCACCAAGCTTCCTTCATTTGTATTATTTATTATTTCTTCCCCACCTGTATTCCTTTTGCAAGGAACCCAAGATGTTCCTCTTCCCCAATTTATTCTCACAACAACCCCATGAGGAGGTTAGGCTGAGAGTCAGTAAATGGGCCAGAGTCTCCCAATGAGCTGGGGGCTAGAAGTTGAACTTCTGGAGTCCCAGTCCAACACATCGATGGCAGCACCAGACTGGCTCTCGGGGTTGTTGCCAGACTGCAGTTCCCAACACCCTTCACCACTGACAGGGGCAGATGGGAGCTGCAGTCCCATCCCTGGGAGGGTACCACCATCTAGAAAAGAGACCCAAGAGAGTCCAAAGGGACATGGTTATGTCTATGTGGTTATTTCTATGTGGTTATTTCTATTATATCTATGTGGTATGACTATGTGGTTATTTCGGTTGCACTTACGGTGACTAAACTGCAAGGGGGCAGGGGGTCTGGGGGTTCGTGACAAAGACTTTGCAGACCACCCGTGTTCTTATTTCTCCTTCTTTCATGAGCAGACGTCTATTCCCGTCCTGTTCCTCCTCCTGTACCCGCCTAACCCTGATGCTTCCCTAGGCTGAAAGCGTACAGGCTGTGACACCAAAACAAGAAGCATAATTGTTAGCAGAACTTCTCTGATTCAAAGAGCCCATTTGTTATGCACTGCAGCTGCTGTTTATTCAATTTCATCTGCTGTCTGGCCCATTTAGCAATTAATACCTGTTTTAAAGAGTAAAGGTCAACATAGTCCAGAAAAGCAGAGTTTTCCTTATATTAGTTTGTTGTTGTTGTTACATTACATTTCTATCCTGCCTCTTTTCTTCTTGTGAGCAGCCCAAGACAAGAGCAGATATGTTAAGTACATGACGCTTCATTTATTTCCCCTAATTATAATCTTTTTATAAAAGCAGAACTTGACAGACTCTGGATATTATTAGAACTGAAACAGAAAATAAACAAGCAGTGTGACACCAGCTTGGACGGAGATAGAGCTGCAACCAGATCCCGTTGCACTGGGTGGACTGCATGAAACCAGTATAGTCACAAAGCCAGACTGGTGCTGGAAAGCCCATGGTAATGGAACAATTCCAGGACCAGTGGTGGCGTCAGGGAATGACCCACTAGAACTGGAGCCCCAAATCTTTCATTTGGAGTTGCAAATCTCTGGAAATCCTTTGGTGCCATCAGACTGCTGGAATAACGGTACAAGCACTGTGACCATCTCTCTTGCGATTTGACCCACAAACACTTCGCCTTCTGCTGTCTTTGCCTCTGGAAATTTTCTGCTTGAGGGTTTCTTTCCCTGGAATGTAATATCCTCCCTCTCCTGTGCTTTTACAGATAGCAGAGTCCTTACGAGACAGTCCTTTAAGAACACATACAAAGACAGACTTTGGAGCATAGATTAAACTGACATGGTCAAATCTGTGCTTTCAGATGTTTCCAGTCCCTTGCACCACCCCTAGGAGGCGCTATGCTAGCAGATCAACACTAGTGATAGGAAGAAAATGGCCATCCAAACCATATTTGTACAGCTGTGCAAACTGGGGAGTGGGAGCCTAGTACAGTACTGGCATGTGTAAACTGCAAGTTTATCCTACCTTTCCCTTCTCAAGGACCCACATTCATAATCCTGCTCTATTTTATCCTCACAACAACCCTGTGAGGTAGTTTAGGTTGAGAGTCAGTGACTGGATAATTTGGGTATTTTAAACAGCTCCAAGCCTCTGACCTTGTTTGGAAAGCATGCCATGGACACCCGATTGCCTATCCAGCCTCTGCTCATGGGTTAAGTTGTGCTAACCTGCTAAGCTTGGTTTATCTGTGGGTTAATCTTCCCTGGTATTAACCTAAAACAGACTGTGCTTGCAGTTTAGCTTCACGTGTTTGCCAGGCTTGCATGGCACAACAACCATAAAAAGAGACTGCCTTTCAAAATGCACCCTCCATGTACTGCAGGTTCAATCAGTTTGGACAAGCAGCCCTACCGTATCCTCAAATACCTAGAGAGCTATAAGAGCATGAGGAGAGACATGGACCTACTTTGCCTGGCATGTTT